GTGCCTAAACATGCTGGATGTCTCTGGAAAAGACTATTCTAGAAGAGCCACTATTAGGTTCATGAACCTGAAATGACATATTACAGAATTCACGGCAAAAAATACAGACCAACAAGGAATAATCCAGTTGAAAAGTTTAAAACATTCATGATGGCACACCATGGTTTAGCACTGAGCCTACTGCCTTTGCCAAATGGGTACTTCCATTCAGTTTGGAGGTGATACTGCAAATATATATATAGGATAATCATGCCTGCCAGTTGATATAGGGAATGAAACTCTCAACCTACTATGCCTGGTATAAGTTTGTGTTTTCTAAAATCAAAGAATGAATTTTAAGAACAATGGAGGTTAACAGTAGAATATATTTACTGAAATAAAGAAAGCTCTGTCAGGACAGAAGAGGCCCTCAGTGGGTTGCCAAGGACTGTCTTTTCCAGGGACTTTATTTATAGAGTTAAATCATGAGATTAGATGGATCAAAGGTGGGGAAAAATGGGAATTTGCAAGGTGGGCATAAGGCAGGACAGAACTGTGGCCAACCAATAAGAGTAATTGCTCAGGTAAAATTGATTAAATTAGAAGCAAATGGGGGAGTCACATAGTAAGTGGGCAGGCTTAACAGGGGTGACTCAGGGGCTGGGGATTTAGCTCAGCGGCTTAAGCACCTGCCTTGCAAGCAGGCGGTCATGAGTTCGATCAGCGGTACCGATTAAAAAAAAGTTAAAAAAAAAAAGAGGGGTGACTCTTCCTGTAGCGGGGTGGGACCTGACTCCTGACTTCCCAGGGTAAGAGAGAACTATTTGGACTGTGGATCCTTAGGATGTGGTTGTATTTGCTTTGCCTTTTGTCTCGAGATCCAGCCCACAGCAGGTGATTGCCCTGCCCTGTCTGATTGCCTATAATATTTCTAACTAACTCAGCTGCCGGTAACAGGGATGATAAGCATTTAAGAAATGCAGTACCCATTTATAAACCTACTATTCAGGAATATTTTCTTTTACATCTTTAGGTCATTTGGAATCTAAGAATTTTAGAGTGTTGTCTTTATTTAACAAAGTGAATAGCTTTGTGCTGGAGGCAGTCATACTTAAATTGCAGTAAATCAAATTCACTGCACTCAGAATGCTCCTGAGTAAATTGAAGAGAGCAGAAAATCTTATTTCTTTTTGTCAACATCAGAAAAAAAGAAAGGAATCTCCCATAAAGGAATTTCCATTTGGGAATAAGTTTGCACCCTGGAATACACACACACAGGCCTGAGAGGCCTCTGCTATGTCCAGAAAATAAAGAAAAAGTAGGATTTTCATTAGGACAGGAGAAAGCGTCTGTTGCTTTGGAGCTGTGAATGACAAATGTAAGTTGCTGTATGGAGCTGGTCTTGAGGTCATAGCCAGCAGTTCGTGGCCAGTTGCTAAGAAGAAAAGAATATAGTCTGGAAGCCTCGAGGGGTCTCAGAGAGCAGGCCTCGGGATAACTGTATCCTGAGCGTTCTTTTTCCCCAAAATTGGCTTTTTAGCACTATTTTAAATGGGTGCAATGTTTTCACCTGCTCAATTTCCACACCTTTATGGTAAATGAAACGAGATTGTGTTTGCTATGACAGCTGATGTTGGGGATGGTTCTCAGGAATGCATTGTGAAGTGACTTTATTTCATTGTTGTGAGAACAGCACAGTCTTCTTACCACAAACTAAGTGTCTTAGTTGATCAGTATTACCAGTTGATCTAATCTTATGGGACCACACTGGAAGCTAAGTAAGTTTACCTCACAGGTAGAGCAGAACAGTGGCTATCTGAGGGTAGGATGGGCAGGGGAAAGAGGCTGGTGGCAGGGTATAAACATATGTTAAATAGGAAGAAAAGTTCCAGCATTCCACAGCACAATGGAGTAACATAGTTGGTAACAAGCTATTGTACATTTCAAAACAGCTAGGGTAAGTGTGAGCTGATGCTATTTATTGATTTCATCATTACACACATACAGGCATTGAAATAACACTGTATCCATAAATATATATGATTATTTTAGGTCAGTTAAAAATTTAACACGTCTTAAACTGTTGTTTCTAGATAATTGTTCAAGAAACACTCTGGGTGCTATTCACTGCCTATGATGGAATGTCTGAACTAGAAGTTTTAGATTTCCGGCATCAGTTGTCCCTTAGGATTCCACTGGCCTCACTGCTCCTGGTCTCTCCCCGCTGCCCCTACATCTGCTTCCCTAGGACTGGGCCTGCTACAGTCAGGCACAGGGTCAGCCTCCACTGTGAGCTGGGCCAGAGCCAAAGCTTTGGGTTCATCACCACGTAAGGCTTTCCCATCTTATTCCATTCTAGTAGTTGGAAAGAACACAGAGGTTGGCACCAGGTGACAGAGTGAGACTGCAGTGGTGGCACTGCCAACACAGTGAGAGCTGGTGGGTCTCAGCAACATGCTGCGAAGCCTGCTTTGGTTTACTGGAGGCCTACAGGAGCTGTAATCCTTGGCTACTTCAAACTGCTATTATAGAGAAACCTGTGAACAGCTGGGGTTTAGAAAACAATCATATACTATGTAACTTACCCGGTTATAGTCTCACAATTGTTTGATTCTATTTCGACACATAAAAATGCAGTTATCATTTTGGATGTTTAATTTTTATACTCAACATGTAGACATATTGATGTTAGTTTTTGGCTGGTTTAAATCATTCCTTTAGGACAATATGTCCAAGAGCTAGTTTAGTTTGTTTCTATACATGTATCTTTTCATATTTCCACCCTTACATAATGATGTCACTGTAGAAAAACTCTAGGGTAAGTTTCAAAGAATGATACCCCGAACTATGCTACAAAACTGATATGAAAAAGAAACTACCACATCTTAACAGCCCACGATCTCCTCTTGGGGTGATGAAAATGTTTTGGAACTAGACAGAAACACTGGTTGATGAACACTGTGGGTGTAATAAGTGCTACTGAACTGGATTTTATAAGTTTCAGGTTGTGTGAATCTCAGTAAGAATTTTTTTTTTTTTTTTTTTTTTTTTTTTTTGGTAATGGGGATTGAACTCACGACTGCGAGCTTACAAGACAGGTGCTTATGCCGCTGAACTAAATCCCCAGCCCCAAGAATTTTTTTTTAAAAGGTAAAAAACCATAATACTGTAAGTTCCTAACTTATGCCCATTTAAACTACAAAGTTTCACAGGTGTTCTGTATCACTTTGTTGGATCCATGAAATGAATCCCACTTAATGAACATTCTCCTAGGATGGAACCATTCCTGAATTGGAGACTTACTGTACTGATCTTGTCTCTGCCACTGTTGAGGATTAAAATCTAGACCCCAACTTTACTGCAGCCACTAACACCAGCCCCAACACTGTTTCTGTATCAAATACATGACCTCACAACCACAATGTCCTTTGAAAGCCAGATACACCAGCATACCAGCATACAGGCATACAGGAAATGGGACAGCACTTTGCATCATGTTGCCAGTGCTGATGTTTTTAATTGAAAACCGAGGTCATGGTCTGCATTTCAGAAGCAAAGGAGACACGAGGAAGCAAGACTAACATCACAGAGGTTCACTAAAGTACAGAGTCCGTTCAAAAGATTGTGGGCCTCCACAAAGACAAGTACGCAGTACGTCTTACTAGCTGCCCAGGAACGCTATTTTAAGATACAAGAGAAGCTAGAAGAGCAGTGGTCTGGCACGAAGAGACCCTGGGTTCAATCCCTCTCACTGAAGAGAAAAGAAATCTAGAACTAAATAAACTAGTAGTATTCTTTTTTAGTGACCAAAAAAAAAAAAAAAAAAAACAAAAAAACAAAAAACATCTTTCACAAGTATTATATTATCTTTAAAGTGTATTAACTATAAAATTAATTATTGGGGAGCCAGGCATAGTGGTACATGTCTGTATTCCCAGCATTCTGGAAGGATGAGGCTCATAAGAAAGCCCAGCCAGGGCAATTTAGTAACTTAGCAAGAACCCTATGCTAAAATAAAATATAAAAAGGGCAGAGATGTAGTTCAGTGGAAAGGTCTTGGTTCAATTCTGAGTATTGCAAAAATACTAATTATTTAATTACTGGGGTCAGGAAGTGATTATAAGATGAAAAGCAATACCTTGTTTGCAAGCCACGTAACTCAGCCCAGATTACCTGTCCTTTGATGCTTCACAAGATGCACAATTGAGATTGGTCAATTGACTTGGTGTCTCCCTAATTAGGTATTTACAGAACCACAGTGGGACAATAAAGCTAATTGTTCTTCCTCCCTTTGTAGTTCTGCTCAGGAACTTGCTGGCTTCAATAATAAAGGGAAGTTGGGTGTCTATATCCCATCCAGTGGGAAAAGGGTAGGGTGCATATTTGACTAGCACCTTAACTGGTGTAAACAGAGTATTGCTGGTTCAATTAAAGCTTTTCTTACGACAACTTGTATTATAAAACTTATTTGAATTTCAAAATTATTTATAGGTTTTCAAATTCACACAACAATCTCCACTTATGCAGTAAGCTGGTCTTTTGTGGGATGTCTGGATAATGAAAAGCTAGGATAACCCATACAAATCCTACCTCTTTCTTTCCAATACACACATTAGAAATTTAAATTCCAAGCAATTCCTCTTTTGAAAAATAAGATTTAGTGCAAGTCACCAGCTACAAATTTTTGAATTTGAGTTCCAAATAATTCTCCTTTTGAAAATCCTAAGATTTAGTGCAAGTTTTTGAATGTTTACAGAATACTGACCCTTAGCTGGGCATGGTGGCTCATGCCTGTAATCCCAGCACTGGGGTGGCTGAGGTAGGAGGATGGTTGGAGTTTGAGACCAGCCTGGGCTACAAAGTGAGCTCAAGGCCACCCTGAACTGCATAGCGAGACCCCGTCTCAAAAAAAGACCAAAAAAAAAAAAAAAAAAAAGAATACTGAGCCTTATGGATGTGAGACTCCTATTTAAAAAACAATGAATTTTAAAAACCTAAATTGACTCAGTTTATTTCCCAAATTAAGAGTTGATCCATGTTTCAGTTTATTGCCATACAGAAGACATTTTACAAAATAATAAGGTAGACTTCCACTTCAATATCTTTATGTAAAAACTTCACAGTTCAAGAAAGTTATTATTATTAGTTATGGAGACATCAAAGGCCAGCAGGCATTTTAAGTACCTGGCAGACAATTTTTGCTATCTCTTCCTAAAAAATGTTGGCACGTTAACTGCCCAGGTTATAAAAGTCAGCATCCACTTTTTGACTTTCAACATATTTTTATATCTACCCTGCCTAATATTAATGCTAGTAGACAAGAGTGCATACAAGAATCTAAAAAACTGTTGGGTAGCTCAGTGATTCAAAACCAAACAGGAAAAGGCTCTCCCAGAATTATTTTTGACCATTACCATAACAACAAAGTAAAAAGATGTTAACCTTAAAAAGCCAAAGGAAAACAATTTCACTTTTCCTTTGAAAACATTATTTTTTAGCTCTTAACTATACAGAGAAAAAACAATTTTCTTGGGGTAGGAAAGACTATTTCATAAGTAAAAACATCAAGTTTAGTTGTACAAATGTCTCATTTACAAAGAGTATTTTAAGTCAAAGGATTCTAAAATATTTCATTCCTGTAGGCAAAATTTAAAGCTAAAAAACTGTAATGCACTGAACTAATATAAGTCAAGCATTAACGCATTTTACTGTTTCCCACAAAATCCATGCTGGGGAACAGTAGTAAGCAAGGGAAGGTGTGAATCTTCTTCAGCAGTGAGTCAGATTAAGTACGAAGCCCTGAGCCACTGCAGGTCTCTGAGTCTCGTGGTCTTCTCTTATACGAGGGCCAGGACTAACACTAACCTCCCTTTCAAATCTACACACTTAGATACATTTTTTTTTTTCCTGACAGGTATAAGAATTCTACTTTGTGGTATATGATTTGATTTTTTTAAAAAATCTGTACCTATTTAACAGGTACAGTGTGATAATTTGATACACATATATAATGTATAGTTTCAGTAAATTTCCTACCACTTTAAAAGACAAGGAGTGAAGTTCACAGCCTCTTGCCTGGGGATGCTGTGATCAGTGGGGACAGTCTGGGCTCTGGCTCTACCTCTGTGAGTCTCTAGGTCACATTGTACCACTTGCTCTTTCAGGTTTTGTTTTGAAGACCAACAATGTTCTAATAATATCTCAATGTATTTGTAAATTACACACTACTATACAAATGCAAAAAAAATGTTATAATAAATGTAAGCTGAGTTTTCCCTGATAACAGAATTTGGATATTTTATGTTCTTTCTTGCCTCTTAAACTAAAAACAAGGTGATCCTTTGGTACCAAACAATTCTCCTGCAGTATTTTGTTCTCTTGCTTCTAATGATGCATTTAACTGCACCAAGTCTGAGAATCAGTTTGTGTCTTACCGATCTAGAAATCTGACCTTTTAATAAGTGGAAACCAAAACCTAAAGATCTCTGTTACTTCAGAGCAATTCACTTTAAAAGAGCAGTTCTAATTACGCAAAAATCAGACTCACATTGGAAACATTTTAAAAACTGAAACCCCTGGGCTCCAGTCCTAGAGGTTCAGATTATGTCTAGAGTGGGACTCAGAAAAACCTTACTGTTTTCAAAAGTTCACCCAGGTAAACTCAACGCCTGATTAATTCAGTTCAGGGAACATGATGCTTTGCCTTAAATTTATTCTCTATAATTTTAGTACCTGCTAGTTTGTTCTTGCAGTAATTACAACCACTCTTGGAATAGACTGCCATGATCTTGCCTTAGCTCCATAGGAAGCTAGTCATCAGCATCTATTTTCAATCAATTTAAAAAATAATCTACTGAATCAGCTAAGACAATGTACACAGATGCTGAAACGAGGCTGGTTCTACACCTACAACTGCATTATGCTCAACTTGTAGCTGGTTACTGACAAACATGAAGAGCATTTTGTCAGTACTAATAAAAGATGGCAGAACTCCAAATAACAGAAAGACAGCTAACCAGCTAATCTTATTTAGAAAATGTTTCTAGTAGACACAGGTGAAACATATATATATATATATTTTTTTTTTAAAGTAGCCATTTCTTATATAACCCAAAGACTTCTATAATTCTGAAGTCTACCATAAAGAACAAAGTTGACCAAACTACAGTTGTTTAAAAAATATGTTCAATTAACTGTGAAAATATACATGTAAAATAGATGTACCCTTACCCTTAGGAGGGATAAGAGGCACAAATAAAATTCAGTTTCCATTTATTCTACCCAGAGTTAATTGTGAAAACTACACATGAAGTATTTGGTATAGTATAGTTCTGAACAACGTCTCTTCCAAATTTAACATCAGGACCGCACTTGGACATTCCAGGTGTCCCAAGTGCATCAGGCGCTACGGAATGTTGTCATGTCCTTTGGCTCTCTGCTGGGGACACACCAGTCATCAGCCTCATGGTTGGTATTATAATGCTTCCAGGCAGCTTTGTTATACACTGGGAGTCTCTCAATTGATTCTGTTGACAGAGCCTGAAAAAAAAAAAAGCAGGACCTCTAAGTCTGGCAATTTTAGGAGTTCATTTTCTGAGAAAATATTCAATGTGAAGAGATCACTATAAATTAAATAGTCTTGATGTCTTGTTAATCACAACACTATCTACAAACATTTTTTGAGGTGTGCATATTTGAAACATGTTATTTACTAAATTATGGGATTAACTGACATGTGTATTGACTAAATTTGTTGTCTGCAGCCAGCCTGGAAGGTGCTGTATTGACATTTTACATGGGTATAGTAGATGCTTTTTAGAAAGCAGAGCCAGACCAAAAGTTACATATGTGAGTTCGATCCCCGGTACCGATAAAAATGAAAAAGAAAAAAAAAAAAGTCAGCTAAGTGTAAAAGCATAAAAAAATGGACAAATGAACCTTAATATATGTATAGATTTAATGATATCTACTTTACTGGTAAAAATAATTTTTTTTCAGCATAGTGATTGTACTTTTAAAAACTCTCATGTAGGACGGTGCATGCCTGTTAAGCCTAGCTACTTGGGAGGCTGAAGCAGAAGACTGCAAGTCTGAGGTCAGCCTGGGCAACTCAGTAAGACCTTGTCTCAAACACAGAAAAGGGGCTAAGGATGTAGCTCAATGTGATGGTCCTATGTTCAGCCCCGAGTATTTCCAAATTAACTAGGTCAATAAATGTAAAACTATGTCTAAGGCATCTTGGCTTTTGCATGAACAATTCTTGGCTCTGAGTTTGATCCTGTGTTTTCTTCTGCCATCAAAGTTTCCAATTTTAGTCATATCACATCTGATTTCTGTATTATGCATAATTTTATGCTTCTACTATAACACTACCACTAATACAGTGTTCTCTTTCAGCTTTCTGTAAGACACTAGAAACTGGGATAAACTGCATTCCTGAGTTGGAGTTGTGGTTCTATAGCAGAGTACCTGCCTAGCACATGCAAGACCTTGTATTCAACCCTCAGTATTGGGGGGAAAAAAAGAGAGAGAGGAAGAGAGAAAGGAAAGAAAAAAAGAAAAAATTTTCTTTCCTTAATATCTTCCTAAAGTCAGAACTTTTTAATATTTCAATCTCAGACCACTGGGATTCCTTGAGATGCAGAAAATATTAAACTACAAATTTCAGTCTGATAATTCAAAGCAATATCTTTGATGTGATGGTTTTGAGGATTTTTAACATTTATTGTCTTCTATTTTTCTCCAAAATGCCCCTAAAAGCCTTTCCACTGTATGTTCTCTTTATATACTGTCGAATTTCTTTATCTATTAGGCTAGATAAAAATGCCACATTTGGTGATAAAAATATTGCGCTGATGTTGCCATTTTAAAGTTTCTTATAACTGACATAGTTAAGGAAAAAAAGGAACTATGATCTACAAAGAACATACCATTTTCAGATGAAATTTTTTCTCAAATTCTCCAGCATTTCCTATAAAACTGGTGCCATCTAGTGATCAGAACAAGCAATTAGCATCACTAAAAAGGCACCAGTAGTCCATGGCTTACTCAAGGCCTTTCTATTCCTGTAATACTGACCCCTCCATCAGTCAATTGAACACTGCAGGTCAGTAGGCTAAGAGCTTCTGCTCCTATCAGGTAAGCTGTATGCTTACTAAGTCACTTCTGTGTTCCCTAATCTGTTTATGAAATGACATCTTTTACTGTAATTGTAACATTTAATCAAATATTATAATAAACACATACACACACACACACACACACACACACACACAGGAGGGTATCTTTGAAAACGATGTTTTGGAAGGATTCATGAGAGAAAGACACTTAAAACTGCTATCAAACTGGGTGTGATAATGTACACCTGTAATCTCAGCTATGTGGAAGGGAAAGGAACTACAAGTTTGAGGACAGCTTGGGCAACTTAGAAAATTAAGGGCTAGAGCTGCTCAATGGCAGAATGCTTGCCAAGGCCTTGGGTTCAATTCTTAAGACTGCAAAACAAATATGAACAACAACAAAATACCTCCTGTCAAATCAGACAGAATCTGTACAGAAGACTCCCACAGGATCAAACACCTGGTGATTTTTTTGTTTAAAAAAACCGAAATGGTGCATTTTAAGTATAGCTTGTGAAAGAAAGACGATGTAGATCCCTACACACATCAGAAGACTGGTGGATCAACATCCTTTCATATGCTTCACGTTAAAATTACATAGACATGGCATATAACTTTATAATTCATCAATTTCCCTTCCAATTCCCAACCACAGCTCTGATCAGGACAGGTAAGAATGTTTCCACAGTCAAGAGGATCAACTACCAAATCAGGCAGAATTCCTTGTAAATATTTTTGTACTCAAAACAGCCATGAAGTAGAGTAAAATTTCTTTATAAATAAATTGGGCACTTTGAAATATGCTTAAATCAAGAAAACTTTGATTATTACCTTAATGTAGATAACAGCATCTGTGCCGTAGCCCTCCAAGGAATATAGCTTCAGGTCCCCTTGGAAGTACTGTGCATACAGACGTGATATGGGCAACCCATAACCAAAACCAGCCTGTTTGATGAGAAAAACAAGACTCTACTCAGCCAGCCACACACTGGAATACTTTTCTAATTAAGATAAATCATGTTAGGGGTTCTTCCTAGGGCTATCTGAGCCTGCACAACAGATCTGTTAACACGTAAGTGTTTTAATAGTGACTAAGCTGAAGCTTAGCTGAACACTGCATCAGCTGATCCTCTATGGTTATGTGAAACTCTTCTTTCTTTCTATAACATGATTTCTGGTAGTTTAGAAAAACCAGACTGCGATCTTCACTGGCCTACTCTAGGAAATTCTTTTGGGAATATTATATAACATATATTCTCTCTTTAGGAGCAAGAGTAGAAAAAGCTTCATTGCAGCCTTAATAGATGTTATCTCATGACTTCACACCAGGCATTTCCAGCCAATGTCGTGAACCGGAGGTAATCTATCATAGGTCTACTTTCTTCATTCTCATTGACAGGTCACTTCCTTGCTTAAAATCTTCAAAGTATAGCACCACTCCCACTCTCTCAACTCACTTCCTTAGTGATAAAAAGCCAAGCTTCTAAAAAGAGCTTCCAAGACTTGATAAGATCAAATGCCTGCCTCCCACTTTCCCGTCTAGCAGAACCATATCACCCACCCTTAAGTCCTTAAACATAGCAAGCACTTTAGTGTCTGTCTTCATCCTGTCCCTAGATGTGCAGAATGACCTCCTCCTTACCTGGATTAATCCTACTAGCTCTTTAACATAAAACAAAACACAAGGATGAAGGTAAAAAGGTTTCTATTACCAACTCACATGGTCAATGATAATCCACACAGCATGTTTAGAAGTTTATATGGACTCAGGAATTGAAGCACAGTAACAAACCTTCCACCAATTCTACCTCGACTGATTTTTCTAACCAGTTTGTGCTTCCTTCCTTATCAACTATCCAGTTCCCACACTTCTCCCTACCCAGGAAGGTTGAGCTGAATGGATTGAGCACATCAATGTATTCCCATGCTGTTAGCCTCCAGAGGGTCCTGCCACTAGGGAGGCCCACAGAGGCCAAAGGGAAACAAGGCAGGTGTTCATTCCTCAGGTTCCTCTGTTACTTTTCTTGCTTCTAGGTTCTGTTTACTTTGTCTTCTCCTCATCCCTTTAATCCAGGCTTGTTATGATTTATATCTACATGTTCCCCAAGAGCCTCATGTGCTCACAGATAGGGGTTTTGGAAAGTGATCGGATTATGGGAGCATATAGCCGACTTGCTATTAGGAGATGGGATCTGGTTGGAAAAGGTGGATTGCTGGGAGTGTGGCCAGACAGGTTATTTCCTTCCTATTCCTCATCTGACTGCACTCTCTGCTCTGTCTACCATGCCCCTCTGCTATGCTGCCCTGCCTTGCAGCCAGCTGACTATGGACTGAAACCTCTGTAAACTGTGAATAAACCCTTTCTCTTTTAAGTTTCAGGTGTCAGGAATTCTGTTCCAACAGCAAGGAAGGTGGCTAAGACAAGGCTGTGCCATCTTTGTAGTACAGAAGGCTATTTACAAAGAGACTAATCATATATAAGTGTGGAGTGGGGCAGTACAAGAACCCAGTCCCTCTGTTAGTAAGCTTTCCTCGAACTATCACAATTTGCATGTTACATACTCCTGTCTCCTCTTGAGGTCCTGCCTGATACATTAACTCGTTCCAGAAATGGCCCTAGGAGAAACACTGAAGTACATGATACTTGATCTGCTTTTTCACTGTCTACTGATCACACGTGAGAACTCATGAGGCTTCTCCTATGAACAGTTAACAGAGGAGAAAACAACCTACCTATGTACCAACACCAGTCCTAAGTGGACTGCCCTTCACTGCAAGCCTCTAAGGGACAAGGGCAGGCCTAAGACAGGCGAGAGTAAACCCCACCTGCTCGGGAAGTGGCAATAGGCTGGGTGGTCAGGAACTCAGAAAGAACAAAAGCAGTAACTGATGAACACGCCTAGCAGACAGACACATGGGTTCTCCTCTCTGTATGGGTTTTGCATTTGAAGATGTTTTTCCATGTCCATGCAAACACCCACCAGAAGGTGTCCATGTAGGGGACGCACCAATGACCAGACAATAATTATATGGTATTTATTATGAGCTAGGGACTATAACAAGAGTTTTAAATACATTTAATACATTGACTCATTTAATTCTTGCAATAATTAGGGAAACTGGGCCTTGTGAAGTCAGTAATTGGTTCCCAAGGCCACACATCTCTCTAATGTGGTTGGAATCAGGAATGAAAATAGTTTACATTCCAGAGTGTAGACTAATTCCCTATGCTACTTTCCACAGAAATTTTATAGTATCTGTTTTCTATCAACTCTGCATCTCCCTTCTCCCTGCCATGAGAGGAACTAAAACTAAAATTCTAAAAAGATGTCTGTGTTCATCATCTGTCTGCCCCTTGGCATACAAGTATCCACTCATGGAAGCTACAGTTCGCAAACGGAGAAGCACATTCCTCAAACCATCACTTCAAAAGTTTGATGAGATGAGAGGCCCAGAATGTGTGCAGTGTCACAAGGAAAACTATCAGAATAAAGTCCTGGTTACTCTCTAAAAAAGGGTCTAAAATAGGTCCTTCTTAAACCATATTTCATCAGGTTACAGCTTGACATCAGTGACTTACGCCAGAAGTTGCAAAGCCTAGAAGAATAGAGTTCTTCTAGAATTACTGAACAAAGATTTGGCAAAGTGCTACTTTGTGCAATTAGGGGGTAAGACTAGGATAAAGTCAATTCAAAAGTTGAGGGGGCTGGGGATTTAGCTCAGTGGCATAAGCGCTTGCCTTGCAAGCAGGCAGTTGTGAGTTCGATCCCCGGTACCGATAAAAAGGAAAAAGACAAAAAAAAAAAAAAAAAAAAAGTTGACATTCATAAGACTGAAAATAGGTGACACTAAGCTCAGTAAAAACATCATCAAAATAATTATAATTCGAGTATTTCACACTGGTGATTAAACATTACTTGAATTGCTGTCTTATTTGAGTCTAGAATGTGACATTTTTCTAATTACAAATATTTGAGGGAAAAAGTCAACATTAAAGATTAAATCAGTGTTAATCAAATAGTAGTAACGCCAGTACCTTTTTCTTCACGTTAGAAATAGGATATCAGAATATAATAACCAAATACTATTCAAATCAGTAGTTTATTTTTCTCATTACAAATAGTACACCACAATATGGCTTACCATGGGAAATCGGTTGTTTGCCATCAAGCTCAGCAGCAGGAACTCTAATAAAACAATCATCTTTCCTGCGCCCAATTTTTAAAAATGTGTTCTAAAGACTTTCGATTTTGAGGTAAGTGTGTGTTTCTAAGTGCGTCCCTTTTCCCTTGTGGAACCACCTTACACAACTAGCTTAGCTGGTTTACTGTGCAGCTGGAGCCTCCGGAAGGCGAATCACTGAATCTCAACCGCGCTGTTTCTGGATCACATACCAGGGGTGCTGCTCGGGAAGTCTCCACACGTGGCCGTGGCGCAGTTGAATACATGTAGTTGAAGAGTCTGTCAATCTTCCTTAAAGGGACGCCACCTCCTCGGTCACTCATCTGAGATTAAGAGAGGATCATGCTCTATGACCAACTGCCATAAACAGCAAATTACCAACATGTACACAGCACCATGGTTTAACTGCTGTAGAGAGTGCTGCTTTTGAAAGTAAGTACCACACAGTCTAAGCTGCAAACACAAATATTTCATTTTCTTCAGTGTAACAACAAAACCTCTTTAATATGTGAAATTCTGATACTGTACCTACACAAAGCACTGCTGTGGCATTGTACACCTCTATTTCCTCAAGCCCCAGTACCATGGCATTACAGCACAGAACCAGGCCTAAGCTAACCAGCTTATCTTGAATGTAAAAGTCAATTTACTCAAAAGTCAAAAGTCAAGTTACTCCTTTTTGATGGGCAGTGTGGTAAATAAGATCAAATTAAAAGTGCAAGTACTCTCTGACCCAGCAAAACCACTTTCAGAAATATATTTCAAGAAAACAAACAGAAAAGTATGCAAAGTATGTGTGAGAAAATGCATCATACCTCAAACTGAATAACTACCTAAACAGGAGGTTAAACTGCATTCTAAAATAAAATACATCGAAGAGCCAGGCATGGTAGTGCACACCTGTAATCCTAGCACTTGGAAGGTTGAGAAAGGAGGACTGCTGCAAGTTCAAGGGCAACCTGGGCTACACAGTAAGACCCTGTCTAAAAAAAACAAATAAACTTTATAGACCTGTATATACCGGCATGAGAATTGTCTATACAACATTGTTAGGCAGCAATCAACAAGACATGAAGTATTTATAATTCTAATATTATAAAAATTAAATCATAAAAAAGGTTTGAGATGATATGTAACTTGTATCTTTGAAATGAGTTATTTTCTTGTCTTTGGGGTTCTCTGAATTTTTTTACAATTACTTCTGTTATTAAAACAGTTTAATTTTCATGTTTTAGAAAGGAAAAACAAGTGGTTACACAGAAATTTTGACAACTTTCTGCTGAGTTGTAAAGTCTTTATATTCTTGTATCATTTTTTTCAACTCAAATAATATGGAAAATTGCATTTATGGTAATTTATTTGCACACTGTTTTCTTTCATAGTTAATATAGACTTAGTTTCCAGGCTAATGCATAACTTATAGGCTAATCAATTGCAGCCATTTTTCTTTGCTACAAAATCTGAATTAATTCTATTAAGTTTAGTTTTTATATTATTTTTAAAAATTTTATAATGTATATACTTTTATTATAATGGAAATATTTAAATTTTAATTATTTTACAGTGTTGAGGATTGAACCCAAGGCCTTGGACATGCTAGACAAGCATTTTATCAATGAACTACATACTCAGACCTATTTTAATTTTCAAAATTAAAATTGTGCTTTGAAATAGCATTTGAAGGTCTGTCACTAGTACATCCCAAACTAAGTAAATACAGTATAAAACTAAATAAGGATTTATTAATAACTTATATGTAGCATTATCCTTGAAACTGCTTTTGGCTATAAATTCAAAGTCCTATGAAGTGATGCATTTCAGTAAGACAAACGAGATCTAGATATTTTGGGAAGTGCATCAATTTGTAAATTATTCATTTATCCTTCAATCCATTGTACTGCTGAAAATTTGCTGGTAATATGAGGAAGATGTGTAGGCATTCTGTAAATATTAAGCAAGTAACATACTATACTAGACATTAAGGGAGACTAGAATAAGTACTTCCTGGTTTTCCTCAACCTCTAGTCAGAGACATAAAAATACAGCAGGTACAAAATAAGTGATTTCCACCTGTAGGCAGCCTGATGACAGCACAGTAACTGAGCAGAAGAGACAAAATCAATGTGATCAAGAAAAGCAGAATCTTACTAGAGGCAGAAGGGGTACACTAAGCAATGGGAACATGGTTAATGCTAAAGGCCCTGGGCATGGTACACACACCTGTAATGCCAGCTAATAGTGAGTTAGAGACAAGGAGGATCACAAGTTTGAGTACTGTTGCAGCAATGTAGCAAGATCCATCTCATAATAATGGGATGTAGTTGAGAGGTAGAGCACCCTGTGTTTGACCCCCAGTAACCCCTCTCAAAAAAAGTGATAAACGAAACCTCCTTCTCTTTGAAACCAATATCACAATAAACTAGAACTATGGATTTCAAAGTAGTCAAGAGGATTTCCAATGCAGTTGTTAACAGATGATCAGACCTGAGTTTTTCTGGAAGAGGGAAAGATAACAGAGGAGATACATTTGGTATATATTCTCCTATTTTAGGCACTCTGATGATAAATATATTGACAGACACAGAGAAACTAAACGATCCCCTGATTAAAGTCAGTTAGAGAAAAGAAGTCTAGAATGTGAACATTAAGCATGTGCCAAGAAGAACTCATTATCAAGAGATAAATGACAACAGAAAGGTCAAGAAAAGAAAGTGGGCCAATTATTTTAAAATTTTTCTCCTCAATGCACAAAATTACCACTTCTCAATGTCACGTAGCCAAGAGCTGCCATTCTTTATTTCCTATCCCTCATAACCCTGGGCTGCCTGGGCTAGCTCGTATGAACCTCAGGCCTACAGCAAAGGAACCAACACCCACCTGAAGCTGGCTCCATGCCAGGGTGCTTTGCAGCCCTGTACACACTCAGAACCCCTGCAGTTTCTTTTCACTGTCAAGTTTGTAAAATTACAGAGGGTGAATGAATCAAGATATTTAAATATTAATTGAAATGACATGTGTTTAAGTCCCTGACCTAGCAAAAAGAGACTATAGTTATAACACATTATTTACTAAAAGACAGATCACACACAAAATCTGAAAGAACTAGGATTATAACAACAACAACAAAAGTAAAAAAGCAAAAAACAAAAAAGCCTCCTTTACAAGACTTTTAGCAAGAGGGATAAAGGGTGGAAGATATCATTAATATGAATAAAGTAAACACAACACAACAAAACAAAACAAACCTTAAAAACTCTCAGGCCTTGATTCTACAAGTCCAGGGAAGTAGTGGGAATGAAAGCTCTACGGATGAGAAGGAAGCAAGACTTCCACGTGTAAAGAGGTTGGTGTTCATTAGGCCCTGGATGTGAGGAGCAGGAGCAATGACTCAATGGCTGGAGGTAGAGTTTAATACACACATGGTTTCTACGGTGGCTTCTGGGACAGTCTTCAAACCTTAGCATGACTTTCTGTTGTACATTAGACCATTTAATTTAGATATAATTTATCTACCATACAACTTATACATTTAAAGTACAGCTTACAACTTGACAGTCTTATATTCACAGATATGTGGACCACTACCATAGTCAATACTAGACTATTATCATCACCTCCTACAGAACTCTAATCTACGTTTTGTCTCTATATATTTGTCCCTGTATATCCTGGACATTTTATTATATAAATGAATCATATCTTACAGTCTTTTGCAGTTGGCCTCTTTCATGTAACATATTTTCAATGTTATAAACATCCATCTTACAACATATATTAGTACTTTAATTCTCTTACAGCCAAATGATGTTTCACTGTATGAATGAACTCAATTTTATTTACCTATTCATGAGTTGATGGACACCTGGCTTGTCTACTCAGCAATAATGAATAGTGATAGTACAAATGTTCATGCATAAGCTTTTGCTTGAATATGCTTTCATTAGTTTGGAGCCCATACATAGTAGTGGAATTGTGGGTTATTAACATTTCTTTACATGAAATAAGAGTCCTTAAGCAAAGGCAGCCCATTAACACAGAAGGAATCTATGCTAAATGCCTGCAGGCTCAGTAAACCTAGATCCATGAGATGATGGATGACTCAGACAATGGAAGGCAGCAACAGACAGGATGCCAAAGCCTATCTAACACAAGAGGAAAAGGTACAAGACAGCAGACCCTATAGCAAGACATCTAAGGGACTTACTCTGAATCAAGGATACCTTAATGGGCAAGCACTTAACATAACCAAAAATAAAAACATAGTACCTCGGTTGAAAGAAGTGACACATATAGTCACAATATTTTATTGTAAACAGACAGTATTGCAATGTATTTATTTCTTTGTGCCTCACCCTCATTGTTTTAAATGAGCAGTAAGAGACACAGGAAACAGAACAGATAAACAAATTAATTTTTTGAAAAATTCATATTCTCAGACCAATAATGTAACTAGAACAGAGTATTATGAAAAGGGATAATAAAAATAAGTCTTAGAAATTTATAACAAGATAGTAGAAACAAAAATTCAATAGGTCTAGGAATTTAAAGTCACAGCACAGAACAAAAATTACAAATTAAAAAATAGAAAAATGGATAAATAAAGGATGATTTCACGAAGCCCAATATCCTTCTGATAAAACAACCAGAAAGAGAATAAAACACTGGGAATGCTTATAAGGGACACCCGAAGGGGCATGGCCTAGGAGGTAAGGAAAGATCCCTGTCCAATCAGATCACAGTACTAAGTCAGAACATCACCCAGATAAAGATCTTCAGAATCTCAATTAAACAAACCTAAACAAACCTAAAACTGGCTGTAGTATATAAAAAAGAATAGTAATAAATGTAAGTGTTCAAAAGGAATAGCCTGAAAGTCATTAGCAAATTAACAGAAAGAACCTCTAAAAAGTCTCTCCTCTAACAAAGCTTCAAGAAAAAGGTAAAAACCATCACAATTGACTTTGTCAGAATTCGAAATTAACCAGACTCACAGCCATTTTGAAAGCATTTTTTCAAGAAAAACTATTGAAAAAGACCTGTGTGCTTTGTGGCATTTTAACACATCCTGTTTTCATCCCTCGCCCCTTCTCCATCTCATGCCACTAGTATGAAACCAAGTATCTGGCCAGCCACTGGCAAGGTTGTTTAGTCCAGACTCTTAAGCCTTCTAATTAAAGACAACCCCATCCCTGGAAACATCTGTACATCAATTAGAAGGAATGGATTAATTTGAAGGCTGTCTGAGGAAATGGACAAGCTAAGGCAAATGATATGGCTAACCTAAAAGCTTAATGGGAAAAGAGAGGCAAAAAGAAGGTCATAG